TGAGAAATTTTGAGTGTAGGAGACCAGCCACCTTGCTACTCATTTTCTTCTTCATTTTCTCACCAAAGACACCACCTTTGATCATGGTTTCTTCTCTTGATTAACCTATCTTGGTGTGAGCTACCTTTGGAGAGTGAGAGGACCTTGTTTCTGAGTTCTTGCTACTGCCTTGTGAGGTGTGAGGGGCTGAGTTTCTGGTTTTGGGGTTGTGGTGTCTTATTCTTGGTGCTTGGTGCTCCAAGAAGCTACCTTTATGAAGAAAGGAACCACCTTGTGTGCCATTTTCGTTCTCTTCGAAGTAAGTACCTTGGAGCTAACTTGTGAGCTCCAAGAGCACATTTGGTTGGCTGTTTTAAGCTTGGGTAAGTGTTACCACCTTTGATCTTGAGTTCTAATGGTTAAAATAGATGTCTTGGCATGTTTAATGAGTTAAACAAGTATGTAATATGAGTATGAACCTATATGTGCCTAAAAATGGAGTCTTGAACGTTTTTAATTGGTAAAAGTTGGGCCTTTGATGGATATCTTCGCGAAATGCAGAAACTGCATTCTGTCGCGAAATATCCGGATATTGATATCCGGATATGGGGATCTGGATATCCGGATATTGGCAGAGAGATATCCGGATATGCCCCCGACATATATCCGGATATTCTAGGTTTTCGAAGAACAGTAGCTGCACTGTTCATACAGAAAGGCTATTGGGGGTTTATGGACCCTAGTTTAAGGAAGTTGAACTTCTGTAATAATTAGTTAAGCCAGAATCTAAGTGATTAAGGGCTTGAAGCTTTGTGAGGAGCCTAAAGACGTAAAACGTAAAAGAGAAGCGTTGTCTTTATGTTTATGCTTATGAGCTTTGTTTATTGATATGATTGCTGGTCCAAATCAGATTGTGATTCTGCTGTGTTTGGACTTTGAGCATCGGTTGGACTCTTGGCTTGGATTGTTAGCTTGCAAGGTAAGCTTTCGTGTCCTCGGTTTAGCCATTGTTGGTTCCACCATGTCCCGTGTGGGTATGGTTATATGCATGTTGTGTTACATGCTTTGATATTTGAAATGCTTTTGAGCTGTTAAGTGCAAATGCTTATGATATGTATGTGGTGTTCACCCGATGGGATGTGATCCTAAGGGTAGGTACGGCAGGACGCGTACTGTGTGGGTAATAGACGTATTCCTGCATTTCTCTGGTCAGTAGATTATAGCATTGACACACATGACATGATTATCTGCCCTTTTGCACTATTTCGAAAATAATGTTGATAAACTTCTTTTGAACTTATATTGCACATGTAAGTGAGCTTGGGGTGGGAGATCCATAAGGACCCCTTGTCTTACTGAGATTTGTTGTTTAGAGATCTCGCCCCACGTTTGGGGCACATATTTCAGGTTCAGGTAACTTGGGGGCTGATGCCTCTGGCGGCAGGAGGCCAGAGCTTAGTTGATGATTATTGTTGTTTATATGCTGACATGTTTAGATGCTGGATATATCTGCTGATGTTATGTTTTTAGCTTGCTTTTAGTATTTTGCTGTTGTTGAGACTTCTGTTGGGCTTTGTTGCCTTATTTGGGTGAGCATGGGGATTGTCCATGTCACTTTGATTTCTGTTATGTTTGAGTTTAACTGAGTTGTATAAACTATCAGGGTTGTCCGGTCTACGTGTTGTAGTTCCGTAACTAGAGACATATTTATGTTGTTAATTTAATGAGGTATTTCAGTTAGATGTCCTTTGCAATTTACATACCGGCAATGTTTTGAAAATGATTAAGTAATCAAGTTGGTAATGAATAATGACATCATAATTGAAAAGAAAAAGATATTCCTCATTTTTAAATAAGCGCAGCTTAATACGATGATATGATAACATTACCGGATATATACGGGGTGTTACAAAGCTCAAGGCTGATGTCGAGCTTTTAATCTTGAAGCCCTTCATTGGGCTGAGTTGGAGCTCAAGGCTGAGGCCGAGCTATTAAACTTGAAGCCCTTAGTTGGGCTGAGTTGAAGCTCAAGGCTGATGCCGAGCTTTTAATCTTGAAGCCCTTCATTGGGCTGAGTTGGAGCTCAAGGATGAGGCCGAACTATTAAACTTGAAGCCCTTAGTTGGGCTGAGTTGGAGCTCAAGGCTGATTCCGAGCTTTTAATCTAGAAGCCTTTAGTCGGGCTGAGTTGGAGCTCAAGGCCGAGGCCGAGCTATTAAACTTGAAGCCCTTCATTGGGCTGAGTTAGAGCTCAAGGCTGAGGCCGAGCTAATAAACTTGAAGCCCTTAGTTGGGCTGAGTTGAAGATCAAGGCTGAGGCTGAGCTAATATATTTGAAGCCCTTCATTGGGCTGAGTTGGAGCTCAAGGATGAGGCTGAACTATTAAACTTGAAGCCCTTAGTTGGGCTGAGTTGGAGCTCAAGGCTGATTCCGAGCTTTTAATCTTGAAGCCTTTCGTCGGGCTGAGTTGAAGCTCAATGCCGAGGCCGAGCTATTAAACTTGAAGCCCTTCATTGGGCTGAGTTAGAGCTCAAGGCTGAGGCCGAGCTAATAAACTTGAAGCCCTTAGTTGGGCTGAGTTGAAGATCAAGGCTGAGGCTGAGCTAATATATTTGAAGCCCTTCACTGGGCTGAGTTGAAGCTCAAGGCTGATGCCGAGCTTTTAAACTTGAAGCCCTTCATTGGGCTAAGTTGGAGCTCAAGGCCGAGGCCGAGCTATTAAACTTGAAGCCCTTAGTTGGGCTGAGTTGAAGTTCAAGGCCGAGGCCGAGCTATTAAACTTGAAGCCCTTCATTGGGCTGAGTTGAAGCTCAAGGCTGAGGCCGAGCTAATATATTTGAAGCCCTTCACTGGGCTGAGTTGAAGCTCAAGGCTGATGCCGAGCTTTTAAACTTGAAGCCTTTCATTGGGCTAAGTTGGAGCTCAAGGCTGAGGCCGAGCTATTAAACTTGAAGCCCTTCATTGGGCTGAGTTGGAGCTCAAGGCTGAGGCCGAGCTGATAAACTTGAAACCCTTAGTTGGGCTGAGTTGGAGCTCAAGGCTGAGGCCGAGCTAATAAACTTGAAACACTTAGTTGGGCTGAGTTGAAGCTCAAGGCTGAGGCCGAGCTAATATATTTGAAGCCCTTCACTGGGCTGAGTTGAAGCTCAAGGCTGATGCGGAGCTTTTAAACTTGAAGCCCTTCATTAGGCTAAGTTGGAGCTCAAGGCCGAGGCCGAGCTATTAAACTTGAAGCCTTTCATTGGCTGAGTTGAAGCTCAAGGCTGAGGCCGAGCTAATATATTTGAAGCCCTTCACCGGGCTGAGTTGAAGCTCAAGGCTAATGCCGAGCTTTTAAACTTGAAGCCCTTCATTGGGCTAAGTTAGAGCTTAAGGCTGAGGCCGAGCTATTAAACTTGAAGCCCTTATTTGATCTGAGTTGAAGCTTAAGGCTGATGCCGAGCTTTTAATCTTGAAGCCCTTCATTGGGCTGAGTTGAAGCTCAAAGCTGAGGCCGAGCTATTAAACTTGAAGCCCTTAATTGGGCTGAGTTGGAGCTCAAGGCTGATGCCGAGCTTTTAATCTTGAAGCCCTTCGTTGGGCTGAGTTGGAGCTCAAGGCCGAGGCCGAGCTATTAAACTTGAAGCCCTTCATTGGGCTGAGTTGGAGCTCAAAGCTGAGGTCGAGCTATTAAACATGAAGCCCTTAGTTGGGCTGAGTTGAAGCTCAAGGCTGATGCCGAGCATTTAAACTTGATGCCCTTAGTTGGGCTGAGTTGAAGCTCAAGGCTGAGGCCGAGCTAATATATTTGAAGCCCTTCACTGGGCTGAGTTGAAGCTCAAGGCTGATGCCGAGCTTTTAAACTTGAAGCCCTTAGTTTGGCTGAGTTGAAGCTGAAGGCTGATGCCGAGCTTTTACTCTTGAATTGCGACGACGAGATTCTCTGTCAAATCGTCATCTGCTTGGATCTAGAGCTCCATTCTAGACCTCTCGGAGGATCAAAAGCCCTTTTTGCGGTAGGGTTTGTCTCCTTATATATATGTGGTTTCAACAATTTCAGGGTGCGCGAGTTATCCTGCAATCTGTGGTTTTGTTCTATATTGCACGTGTTCACCGTGGATGGGAGTCGAAATTTGCCGTTCTCACAGACGGCGCCAATGTTCGGTCTTGGAAAGACCGTATTGCTATACCGTATGGTATGCGCTCAGAGATACTGTATAATCAGATGTATACTAGGCTTATAGCCGATGTCCCAATCACTGTGCACAAGCAATAGGCTTATAGCCAAGACGTGGGTGTGTGCACAGTATTGACAATAATAGTAAATAGGTTAAAAGTCTATCCCTGGGGTCTTTAACCTCTTATTTATAAGGGTTACCTCTTGGGCTTGTGTAGATCTCCCAGTTGTAGTAGGATTTAACTTCCTTTCTGTTGGGATAGGGACTTTATCCTTAGCTGCCTTACTGTTTTATATTGTTAGGATAATTGGAGAATTATCCTTTAAGGGATCCTTGAGTAGGTGGTTAGGATATGGAAATATTCCATAACAGTGTCAAATCTACAGAAATTAAATTTCAAAATTCATTGAAATTCTTGCTTCTTCATCATCTCCATCATCATTTTTATTTTTTTCTCTAAATCCTCCCACCTCTAAACATGATTCCTCAAGAACATTACTTTGGTGAAGAAAAATACATGATTTAAGAAACAGCCTTTAATAATAGATTGACCAATCTCTTCTGTAAAACCTTTTTCATTCTCTTGTTTTACCTCATGTTACTACGCAACATCCTACATTATTTTCACTCTCTTGTATACTCAAATGAGGTTGAACTCAAGAAAACTAGAGCCTTATATCATAGTGTTAAGAATTTTGGAGCTATTCAAGCACCTTTACCTGTTGTCAAATAACTATTTCTCACTTGATGAACATTTGAGCCTGACTACACAAACTCAGCTAAATGTTTCTGTTCTGTGCGTGTAAGAAACTTCATATTCTGTTGTCCAAAAAAAAGAAAGAAGAGAAACTTCATGTTCTTACCTTTTTGAGGGGCTGAGAAACAGAAGCTATAATGTCCTCCTCAAGTGAGCAATCAAAGAGAGAGCAGTAAGCCTGCCTCACAGCCATCAAATGGTTAGGAGTTGATGCACATGCTATTTCAACCAGAACCTGTAGCTCTTTAATCCCTTTCCACCTAGCCTTCAATGCATCCTTTGCCAGTTTCGCATGCCTTTCTGGAGGATCGTAAGTCCAGAGAATTATAGCATTCTGTTAGGCATCACAAGTCTGAGTCAAAGTCTTTTATAGTAGATCACATGATTATTTATGCAAAAAGGCATAGTTTGAAAATCAGATTATTTTTTCCATGGATGAAAGGAATCATGTTACAAGAGTATATACAATTGTTAGGACAAACATCACTCACTATCTTGACTGTATAGTTCTAACATTGAAGGATATATTTCCTTGATCTTTATAATTGCCATCTTCATGGAAGATAACTAAGCATATAAATCACAGTTTTCTCACATGAATCTGAATTGGCACGCGAGCAAAGATGAACTTGGTTTACATTATATATTTTTCTTTCATTTCTCTCTTCTTAGAACCTCTTTTGTCTTCTTTTCTTTTCTTTTTTTATTGAATAAAGCACGAAGAAACCCATAATAGCAGACAAATAACTTATGTGATCTTAAGCTCCCCTAGAAGAGGAAAAATTGAAACAACGAAAAACATTCAGGTGAGAGAGAAAATTAAATGGCTTTTTTGTAACAATGAAAATGCATTTCAATCCTTCATGAACATTAAAAAAATCCCAGTCAAAAATGGCCTTTTTTAAGATTATCTCCTTAATTTTTTGTTTAATTCCCTTGATAATCATTTTCAGAATAGTCAACTAATTAGGAAGAAGAAGTTTGACCAAAGCTGGTTGGCAACCTAGCTGTTTTTGTTTTTAAGATTATCTCTCTCTGCGTGTGTCTATATATATATATATAGAGAGAGAGAGAGAATATATATATATATATATATATATATATATATATATATATAGAGAGAGAGAGAGAGAGAGAGAAGAGAAAGTTTAGACCCCTTAGCTTTTTCTTCACAATAACAGGCTACAGCTATTGGGAAAATTTTGAGCTATTCTTAAATCAAATTAGCATAAAACTGAAATCCAGAGAAAGAAATAGAATACATGATTGATCAATGCTGGTTGGCAACCTACATGCTAAGCATAAATGACCAATTTGCATCAAAGAAAAACTACAGTTTCAAATTAACACAAGCAATCAATAAAAGTGTCATTATTTCAATTGACATCTATCATATGCCAATAAAATACAAAATTGAAGAATTGTTTCTTAAAAACAAAACAAAAGAGAAAGCCAAATAAAGCATGACATACTCTAAAATCACCGGAGAGCTCAGAATGGAGACGATCAATGAGTGATTCATTGTAAAGCTGCTGATAAGTTTCTTTGATTTCCTTCCTTTGTTGGGCATTCCTGTGTCCTAATACCAATATTACCTCCTTCTCATCTGTCCCAAATCCTATATCCATTTTCCCACAAGCATTATCATCATGAACAACCATCTAATGCCAAAATTAACTCATATACACATAACCATAAACCAAGGGGGAAAAAAGACTCAAAATGCAAAAGCATAGAGGACAATATCTCCAATGTCCCAAGAACAAAATTCCATCCATCGCTAATAAAGCCAATAAATAAATAAATAAACTACCCTCTGCTATTACAAACCATTTGCAACCATGCAAATTAAACTATAATGTTTGTGGAAAACCCATTAACACAGAAAAAAAAAAAAAAAAAAAAAAAACTACAAAATTTCAGTTTTTAGCATAACTCTTGCTGCCCAAATTCAGTGATCACTAAATCATCACAAAAAAATAAAAAATAAAGAAAACCCAATTCCTGTTTCAACTTTCTTCAGCATTATTATATGACCCTATATATGTTTGATATATATGTAGAGAGAGAGAGAGAGAGAGAGAGAGAGAGAGACCTTGGAAAGCCTTTCTAAGTCGTTCACTGTCATGGGTAGGAGAAGGAACAAACTCTGGCAGTTTCAATGAAGCCATTTCTCAGGAACAAAGATGAGTTTTCAGTGACAACAAATCCAAGTTAAAGAAACTGTTCCCACGTTGTTTTGTATGTTTCAGCTGTTTTCCCCCCTCAATGCAATAAAACTAAGATTTTAACAACTATTTTTCTGCTTTACTATTTTGCCCCTGGTCTCAAATTTGGAAACTCCAACTAAAGTCCTCTTTGTTTATGTATTTTTAGATGTGGACATTCGTTCTCTTGAATTGTGGAGAAACTCCCCAGAATTTGGACATATTTATCTTTATGCCCTAGGAAGTTTTTTAATTATCCATTTCTAGAAACTGCTTAATTTTTTTTTTTATACATAGAAACTGATTAATTTGTTTCATGATGTATGTTACTTTAAGAATAACTTTTCATCTTTTTAATCAAATTTATTAATAAGCTTTTTAATTATATATTGAATAATTTTTTTATATTTTTGGTATTAAGATAATTGTGAAAAATATATATTTTTTAGAAAATTATTAATTAGTATCTTCTAGTCTACATACATATTTGGAAATAAATTATATTTTAAAAAAAATTATCTCGAAAATTTTTTAAACAAAATGTTTTTATTTCAAAAAAATAATCAATAATGTCAAAATACACTGTTAAAAATAATAAATAAACAAATGATGCATTAAAAATAAAAAACACGTTTGCTGTTTTTGTAATACTTTTTTGTGGTGAGCTGTTTTTGTAATACATTAATTTCCTTCCATTAATTTGAATATTCAAGGTGGCAGAGCGTTTCTTTATTTCACATTCATACCTACCGTCCTTTGAAAGAGAATAAATTAAAACTCGTGGAACGCATTGGTTTGTACTCTCAAAAATCCAAAACGATTTCATGACAATCATTATATTATCTCACACTATTTTTCAAAATAAATAATTCTTTCTTTGAATGGTTTTTGAAAAAAAAAAAAATTTGATAATATGTTCTATTTTTATTCCGAAAATGAGAATTGTGTTTGATAACATAACAGAAAATTATTTCTATTAAACATAAAAAAATTCAGATCATCACTTTCCTTTTCATATGGTGTGATGGTGGTGGTCATTGTGGCATGGTGGTGGCGGAGGTAGCGATCGTGGTGGTGGTGGTGATGACAGTGACTGCAGCAATGGTAGTGGTAATAGTAGCATTGTGATGGTAGTAGTGGTGATGATGATAGTGGCTGTAACGATGACAATAGTGATGGTGGTTGTTGATAGTGGCGACAATGGTGGCATGGTGATGGTAGTGGCGGTGGTGGTGACAATAGTGGTTGCGGCGATGGTGGTAGTGGTGCTGGTGGCAGTGGCGGTGATGGTGGTGGTGGTGACGACGGCGGCGACAATAGTGGTGGTGGCCGTGTCGGGATGGTAGTTGTGGTGGTGGTGAAGATGATAGTGATAGAGAGTGGTTGAGAGAGATAAGTGTTTTTCATTTTGTGTCCGAAAACAAAAAAGTAAAAAAAAAATATATTCTTTTTTCTGTTCCCTAACACAGAAATTGAACTGTTTCATCTTCGGGAACAAAAAAATAAACTAATTTTGTCAACCATTGTTTCTATCCATTTCTATTCTCCGGAACAAAAATTGAAAAAACAAATTATTTTGGGAATGTTGTCATGTACTCCCTAAGGTGCATGGCATTATGTCCACAGTGAACATTAAGTGGGGGAAAAAGTGTGTGAAAGTAATGAATTAAAAAATAAAGAGTAAATACCATTTTTAGTCCCTGGCAATATCCATGGAGTCCTTTTCAGTCCCTAGCAATAAAAAAAGGACAAATTGGTCCCTGAAATAACAAAAAAGAGGCCACGTTCATCCTTCTGTTAACTCCCACCTAACGACCCAACTAACGGTGCACAGTTGGCACGTTAGTTTGCTGACGCGGCTTGGATGTGGGACACCGTGGAAGACGAGACGACAACGTTTTGATCCATGTCAAAACCACAAGGGCCATTTTGGTCCCTGTCAAAATGTACGAGGACGTTTTTAGTCCCTGACAATAAGCACAGGGCCCTTATTGGTCCCTAACCAAAGAAAAATAGGCACATGACTTCATTGCTTTTCTATGCAGTCCAATTTTGCAAAACAGAAGTGCATTACATCAGAAACATGAGGGCAATCCATTTGTTCATCACAAAGTAATTGAACTAAATTTCATTACAAAGTAAAATACTCCTTCTTGGCATTTTATTTCAATGAAGTTTGTGTTTCTAACTGAAGTTTCGACCTTATTAACGATTATTCATTTTTTTTTCAATGTTAATTAAGCTTCCCACTTTGTTAAAAGGGATTCTTGGCTCTTGCAAACAACTTTTACGATTCCTAAAATACTATGAATTGCTTTAATTCTCTTAGTCTGTATAAGACATAGCGTTATGCGATTTACGAACAATATCTTCAGTAGTGTAGCATTACAATTATACTATTTATTTTTCTATAAAAGATAATTGCATGAGTGTTGATATTTAAATACAAAGAAAAATTAGAGAAGAAGCCAGGTAACTTGAGAGGAAGCAGCCCACCTCCACCAAATCCACAATAGGCAAATGAGCTGTTGAGTAATGAAACAATGATTGCAGCAACCAGTGGCACACGAAGAAGATTATTGGCCTTCATGAGCACACCTGGTTTTAGGCCACCAAAGCCCGCCTCAAGAAAATGACCTGCTGCTGTATATGACCTGTGAGTGGTGCATAAGCCAACTGAGAAGGGTTTATTATTATGTGACTGACTTTCTTTTGTAAATTCTGGCCATTATGTATTTGGAGGCCTTATTATGTCAATGTTTTTTTTGTAAATTCTGGCCATATTGTATTAGAGGCCTTTCTTTTAATTCCTGACAGTTGGCTTTATTTTGTAATGCACTACTGTACATCCATGTCTTCAAATATAATGATACTCAAATCATTTTCAGCCTATTATGTTTCACAGGGTTGATGAATGTTTAAGTTTATCATTTTTGATGTTTTTTAACTAATATACGTAGTTGTAGTTCTTGTACATCCATGTCTTCTGGTTTAACAAATTGGACTGCATACAAATCCAATTTAATGTCATGTTCCTGTTTTGCAAAATTAGATTGCACTCCTGTTTCTGATGTAATGCACTTCTATTTTGCAAAATTGGACTGCATAGAAAAGCAATGAAGTCATGTGCATATTTTTCTCTGGTTAAGGACCAATAAGGGCCCCGTGCTTTTTGTCAGGGACTAAAAACGTCCTCGTGCATTTTGACAGAGACCAAAAAGACCCTCGTGATTTTGACAGGGACCAAAATGTCGTCGTCTCGTCTTCCACGGTGTCCCACATCCAAGCCGCGTCAGCAAACTAACGTGCCAACTGTGCACCGTTAGTTGGGCCGTTAGGTGGAAGTTAACGGAATGATGAACGTGGCCTCTTTTTTGTTATTTCAGGGATCAATTTGTCCCTTTTTTATTGCTAGGGACTGAAAAAGGTTTCGTGTATATTGTCAGGGACTAAAAAGGGTATTTACTCAAAAATAAAAATAAAATTAGGAGGACCTTGAGTCCCGACAGTAAGTTTGTATAAGTATCTGTACTCATGTAAATTTGATTGCAAATCATGATTTGCAATTGGAGGTGACTAATCAATTACTTTATCTTGTCTCCTAATCTCGAATTTAATCTTTAATTAAATTCATATTCATATAACCCGTACATGTATTAAAATATAAGATTCAATGTATGAAATAAAAAACGGAAAAAAAAAAATCAAAATATGAGATTCAGATTGATCACAACATGTTTATGAATAATTTTATGCAGAACTTCTGACCAAGTGAGCCTCTTATATGTTGTTAAGATATATAGCGGATCTTAACTTGTTGTAGAGAAAGGAAAAAGAGAATGAAAAGTAACTGAAATCAGGTTCTTGAATATTAATTCTAAATAAATGTACGAGATAAATAAGGATCATTTTTTATTACAATCACTCCCTTAACTAATCACTAGTTTAGTTACACGTGGGCTACATATCAGCAAATTTGTGGCAACGTCATAAACCATACACTAACTACCTAACTCCATATAACCCTAACAATTAAAGGAACCTTGTCCTCAAGGTTCAAATTCGGATAATGCAATTGAAGGCTAGTTTGCGTCCTCGGGTAAAGCATGGGACCATTGAATCAGCCATTGATGGTGAGCTCCTCTCTTATCAGCGATCTCTCGCGAACATAACAACTATGATTGGAGATTGAACTGGAAATTTTCATGACGTAGTTCGGGTAAAGTAGGAACTAAATTGTGTTTCTCTCCATGAAAAGGCTTTAGAACTGAGATTTGGAAAAAGGGTGTATATGGTACCCTATTGGCAGTCCCAAATGATAGGAAACTGGACTTAAAACATGAGTTATAGGAAAAGGGCCAAGGTACCTCTTTGCCAATTTTTGACTAGAACCAAGTCTCCCATGGACAAAGAGACATCCTTCCAGTGTCTATCCAATTGAATCTTCATTCTGTTCTGGGTCTCTTGCAAATGTTTCTTCAGTCTCGTGAGTAATTCATTACAGTGGAGTAATGTTGCATCCACTGCTTCCACTTTTACCATTCCTCTTGGGTAATAAGGAATCATAGTAGGTAGCTTACCGTATAACGTTTGAAAGGGACTCATTCCACTTGAAGAATGAATTGTTGTGTTGTAGTGAGATTTAGCCTGCCCCAAATATGAATACCAACAACAATTTTCATCATAATAGAATAAATTAATGTATTGCTCCAAATATCTATTAGTTACCTCCATTTGACCATCTAATTAAGGATGGTATGTTATGCTTGTTCGAAGTGTGGTACTACTGAATTTAAACATCAACCTCCAAAACTAACTATGGAAGAGACTATCTCGATCAGAGACTATTGTCTTTGGAAAACCAAGCAACTTCACCACCATGTCACAAAACAAGGATACTACTTATATAGCTATATAACGATTTGCCAAGGCATCGAAATGAGCATATTTAGTGAGTTGATCAACAACCACTAATATCACCGAAAATCCCCTTGATTGTGGCAACCCATAATAAAATCCATACTGTGGTCCTCAAA